CGAAACACACTGACTACTCCCTTTGGCGAACACTGAAGCATGTGAAGAGGCCCGTTCATCGAGGAGCACCATTACGTACTCAGAATGGAAGCTGGACGACGAATGATGATGATAAAGCAAACGCTTTCGCCTGTCATCTTTCACAAGTCTTTAGACCCAATGAAGGCGCTCATCCTTCCAATATTTCAAGACCCTCCAGTACCCTTACCGCAAATCCACTTCTGGTTAAAAAGAAAGATTTAATTAACACCATTGTTCATGATATTCAGAAGAATAAAGCGCCTGGTTGCGAGAGGATTACAGGTGAAATGATAAAGGAGCTTCCACAAACTGCCGTACATTTTTTGTTACATATTTTTAATAACATGTTTAAGTTGGGGCACTTCCCTGACTTATGGAAACTTTCGGAAATAATTGTGGTGCCAAAGCCAGGCAAAGATCCGACGGTAGTAAGTCCATATCGGCCGATTAGCTTGATTTCTGTATTTTCCAAAATATTTGAAAAACTTCTATTGAAAAAAATACAACCTTCATTAACAAGTAACCAAATAATACCACCACATCAGTTTGGTTTTCATGAAAAACATGGCAATGTAGAACAAGTTCATAAAATTGTTTCTTGTATTAGAAAAGCCTTCGAAGGGAAGCAATACTGCACCGGTGCATTTTTGGCTATCTCTCAAGCTTTGGACAAAGTCTGGCCTTATATACAAACTAAAGGTTTCACTCCTACAAATACGCGTGCAATTCTGGACAGTTTTCTGCTGGGGAGAAACTTCAGAGTCAGGAAGAATTACTTTAGAACGGAAAGTCACCCAATATATGCAGGTGTGTCCCTCAAGACAGTGTTCTAGGACCCATATTGTACGTAATATACACTCGCGATTTACCAACTGATGATAGCCTAAACATTTCAACTTTTGCTGATGACACAGCTATCCTAAGCAATAGTTCAGACCCTAAAGAGGGTCTTACAAGCTACAAGAATATTTGAAAAAGTTAGAGCTATGGCTAGGTTCTTGGAGGATAAAGGTTAACGAAAGCAAGTGTGTTCAGACAACATTTACTTTGAGGAAGGAAACTTGCCCACCACTAAAAATAAACAGCAAGGCTATACCACAAAAATATGGTGTCAAAAACCTATAAAATAGAAGACTTACTTGGAAAAAGCATATAGAAAACAAAATTTCTCAAGCGAAACTAAAACAAGCAAGCCTTCAATGGGTTATAGGACACAAATCTAAATTAAGCCTATATAACAAGATGTTGTTTTTTAATATGATAATTAAACCATGTTGGGCATATGGAATCTTGGAAGAAGCCCTTTGGTAGAGTTGCTTGGTTTGGTAACTAAAGTACCATTTGAAGCTATGCATTCCGTTTGGCTTGGAAATGTTATGAAAGCTATAGTGGGAAACGTTGACGGAAAATATGCTCGTCGAAGGTTATCAGGCAGAAAGTTACATATCCTTGATTCCAGAATGCATCAACTACAAAATTACGGTCCCTCTGACATCAACCGAAGGCCAAATAATTTCTCAGCTTTTCATAGAATTAAGGCAACTGAGTTAAGGCAATTAGCTCTGTACACAGCTGTGGCTGTATTTAAAAATGTTTTTGAAGACGATGCTTATGAACATTTCTTGTTATTACACATGGCCATGCGTCTTATGGTGTATAAAGAAACGCCTTCCGAAATGCTAAATTTTTGTAAATATGCTTTAAAAACATACGTACAAATGTGCGAAGAAATTTTTGGGTTGCAATTTCTTTCCTATAATGTGCATTGTTTAATTCATCTAGTGTCTGATGTACTTCAACTTGGTGACATGGAGTCATTCAGTGCATTTTGTTATGAAAATAATATCCCTGAACTACGTAAATTAATTCGCAAGCCAGGTCTTCCTCTTCAACAGATTTACAAAAGAACAACAGAATTAAATGACCTAATTTGTACGCCTTTCAATGATTTCTATCCTTGCCTCATGCAGATGGTCCTCTTCCAGAAAATATATTTGATGCTCAATGTCGACAATATCGGAAGTTGGAGATCGGAAAACTAATATTGTCAAAAAATTTACGTGCTAGCTGCTGTTTTCTCAGGGATCGAAGAATTGGGATAATAAAAAACATTATAAAAGTAGAGGAACAAATATTACTGATTTTCCAAGCATTTCAAAGGAAAGAAGCATTGTATGATTTTGGAATACGGTCTAATACTGTTGGTGTACATCACTGTAAAATGTTGTCAGTACAGTAGAGGCTATTTCTATCAACAATTTCGAAGACAAATGCTATAGGATGCCCTATTGGAGTAATGTTGCAGGAGAAGAAGAAAATCCAGTTGATAACCAGTGGATCAGTTGTATTTTGCCTACACGCTATGAGGTTCCTCAAAATTAGATTAATATGTACATATGTAAGTTCTCTTTTCTGAAAACACTGAAACTCGATTTTGGCATTCCTGAACATCTCTGATTGGATGTTTGCTTTTTTTAAACTCTTTTATCACTGCTCGGCCGCTGTGGTGTAGTGGTAAGCAGTGCGCGCTTCCACTCCGCAGCACCTGGGTTCAAACCCTGGTCAAAGCAAGATCGCAAAAATATAGAAAAAAGGTTTTTTCTTAACAGCGGTCGTCCCTCGGCAGGCAATGGCAAACCTCCGAGTGTTATGAAAATACATACAATCGCCGTTCGGAGTCGGCGTAAAACTGTAGGTCCCTCCGCTTTGTGTGACAACATCAAAGCGCACGCCACAAATCGGAGGAGAAGCTCGGCCAAACACTAACATATGTGTAAGCACCATAATATTATTATTATTATCACTGTATTTGAAGCTTTTTCATATGCCTGAAACATTTTCAGCTTGATTGCAATTACGAGTATTCTAGTGATTTTCCCTTTTAATATATGGATTTTTATCAAATTTATTTATTTATGCCTTCAGATAATGGAATTTCCAGAAAAAAGAACTAATGATTTCAAGAAGCTGTATTCCAAAGATGCTCCAAGAACCAGTACGTCCGGGAGGAAAATAAAAACTCCAAAACCCTATTTTACCACATCAGACGAGGAAACTCCATTAAAGAAAAAAGGAAAAAGTAAAGAAATAGAGCAATTATTGGCCACTATGAAGGAAGTTGGTGAAAAAACATAAAGGACCAAAGGAGTTTGTAAGTATATAAAAGATATTTGTTGCTTTTTAAGGTTTAAATCATGCATTATTTATGTATAATTAAAAATAATAATGTGTTAAAAATATTTATTTAATAATTCAAGGTCTCCAACGGAGATTTCTATTGTACAAAAAGTGGAAAAACCGATTTTAAAACTATCAACAGACATCAATTGTCAGAAGAGATTGTATGTATAAAAAAGATGTTCGTTTGATTTATTAAACTTGTGTTCATTAACTGATACAGCATTATTTTTATTGTATCATTTAAGATCTGTAACGGAGGTATCTGCTGGGGGAAAAAAAGCGAATCTTAAATCGTCAAGAAGGCAAATCTGCAAATATTATTGTGGAAGAACCAAAAATATTAATTGATATGGCTGATATTAAAAATATTCCAGTAGAAACTGAGTCTCCATATGAGAAGATAATGAAAAACATGCAGTAAGTATTTTAGTTAGTTAATAAAAATTTGAGAGACATTTGCTCAAATTTTAGAAATGTTATATATTTGAAAAGCAACAACTACTTTCTAAAAAAAAGAAATTAAATTCTCTACATAATTAAAAATAAATTGTACATAATTTTAAAATTTCAATATTACATCTGATTTTAGCAATATACCTGCAGAAGTGGAAAACATAAAAAAAATAATAAAGAGCTTCAAAAAAAAGTTAATGAACCGAATGAATGAAGACCCGCTTCTTAAAAGTTGGATTGATACAACTGACACGTTTTACGTACCTTTACTTGGTTTCCCAAAGGAAACTTTGGAAGAATTCAAGAAATTGGAAGAAAAGGAAAACGAGGACGCCCGTAAAAAACTTGTAAGAATCATTTACACTTATAAATTATAAAAAAAATACCTGTTATAATATATGAATGGTTTTAACTTATATACATACATACTTATGTATATGAACATATAATTCTTTTTTGCAGCAGAATCATTTGCTACGCCTAGGAGGAAGTAAATTAAAAGAATTTTTAAGTTGTGGTTTAAAGGCTGCAATGTCAGACGAGCTTGTTTCAAAGTTTACTTGGCCTACGGCTATCACATCGGGCAGGACTATCGCCGGCACGGTGGGCAGGCCTATGGCAGGCACATCGCGCGTCGGACTGTGGTCTGGCTATTTCTCCAGCCAAAGCGCGCACATTACTCTGCGGCAATCGGCACTCGGTCCGGCAATATCGCACCGTCGTGCCGGCGAATAAGCACCGTAATGTGCGCGCTATGGCTGGAGAAATAGCCAGACCGCGATCCGACGCGCGATGTGCCTGCCATAGGCCTGCCCACCGCGCTGGCGATAGTCCTGCCCGATGTGATAGCCGTAGGCCTGTCAGACGTGTGGGTTATACTGACATAAATACTACAGAGATAGTTTTAGGAGAGCACCAAATTAAAGCACTTTTTAATTTCATTTTCGCAATACATTTGACAATTAATATTTTTTTTAAGCATTTACAATAAATAAATTAAGTGTATTAGTTTTTAAGTGCTTTTCTGTGGTACTAACTTCTGAGGGTTTTAAAATCAATTATTTTTTTATTTTCATTCAATTGATAGAATTAAGTACAACAAAAAGTATGTGGATTAAGCACGTAGGTGTAAGTCAAATTTTATACAGAGGAACTAAAAAGCTATTTGCAATAAAGTCAGTTGAAGTTTACCAACCAACTCAAACAGTTGTTTAAGTTAAACCATCAAAGGTCGTCTTTAATATCCACTGCCCACGTCACAAACGTTCCTGTCCAATAAGGACAACAGGAACTGTGTTATACACTTTATTTGAAAAAATTTTATTCCTCAGAGTCCCAATCTGCCATATCTCCCTCCGACAACTCAAGAGCCCAGCTATCTTTAGTTGAAGCAAGCTCTTCTTCGATGTCTTTTCTGGACAAAGTCTGCTCATTATCAGGTCCCACAAGTTTTTATTTTTCTAATTTTTTCGGTACCTTTGCTTGGTGCTTTTAAGGACATCCAGCATTGCAGCTTTAAATTCCTCTATACTCTTCGGACCACCAAATAGAGGGCAATCCACTGCAGCTTCTGTAAAAGTACAAAATTATAATTATACGTAATTTAGCAATATAAAAATAGATTAATATACATTTTATTGAGAGCGGAGTCGTAGCACTGCAAATTTATTAGTTTCTTAAAAATATCATTTCATACTCACGGTATAATATTTTAGACAGCCTCGTATTTCCTAGCTGCTCGGTCTCCTTTTGCTTGTGCCAAGTAAACTATGAAACAAGCTCGTCTGACATTGCAGCCTTTAATCCACAACTTAAAAATTCTTTTAATTTACTTCCTCCTAGGCGTAGCAAATGATCGTGCTGCAAAAAAGAATTATATATTCATATATATAAGTATGTATGTATGTAAGTTAAAACCATTCATATATTATAACAGGTATTTTTTTATAATTTATAAGTGTAAATGATTCTTACAAGTTTTTTACAGCGTCCTCGTTTTCCTTTTCTTCCAATTTCTTGAATTCTTCCAAAGTTTCCTTTGGGAAACCAGGTAAAGGTTTGTACAGCGTGTCAGTTGTATCAATCGAACTTTTAAGAAGCTGAAGAACCTCATTAACTTTTTTTTTGAAGCTCCTTATTATTTTTTTTTATGTTTTCCACTTCTGCAGATATCTTGCTAAAATCAGATGTAAAATTGAAATTTTAAAATTATGTACAATTTATTTTTAATTATGTAGAGAATTTAATTTCTTTTTTTAGAAAGTGGTTGTTGCTTTTGAAATATATAATATTTCTAAAATATGAGCAAATGTCTCTCAAATTTTTATTAACTAACTAAAATACTTACTCCAGTTTTTTCATTATCTTCTCATATGGAGACTCAGTTTCTACTGGAATATTTGAATATCAGCCATATCAATTAATATTTTTGGTTCTTCCACAACAATATTTGCAGATTTGCCTTCTTGACGATTTAAGATTCGCTTTTTTCCCCCGGGCCAGCAGATACCTCCGTTACAGATCTTAAATGATACAATAAAAATAATGCTGTATCAGTTAATGAACACAAGTTTAATAAATCAAACGAACATCCTTTTTATACATACAATCTCTTCTGGCAATTGATGTCTGTTGATAGTTTTAAAATCGGTTTTTCCACTTTTGTACAATAGAAATCTCCGTTGCAGACCTTGAAAAATTAAATAAATATTTTTAACACATTCTTATTTTAAATTATACATAAATAATGCATGATTCAAACCTTAAAAATCAACAAATATCTTTTATATACTTACAAACTCCTTTGATCCTTGATGTTTTTTCACCAACTTTCTTCATAGTAGCTCTATTTCTTTATATTTTTCTTTTTTCTTTATTGGAGTTTCCTCGTCTGATGTGGTAAAATAGGTTTTTGGAGTTTTTATTTTCCTTCCGGACGTACTGGCTCTTAGAGCATCTTTGGAATACAGCTTCTTGAAATCATTAGTTCTTTTTTCTGGAAATTCCATTATCTGAAGGCATAAATAAATAAATTTGATAAAAATCCATATATTAAAAGGGAAAATCACTAGAATACTCGTATTTGAAATCTATATTTTCTATATTTTTGCGATGTTGCTATGACCAGAGTTTGAACCCAGGTGCTGCGGAGTGGAAGCGCGCACTGCTTACCACTACACCACAGCGGCCGAGCAGTGATAAAAGAGTGTAAAAAAAGCAAACATCCAATCAGAGATGTTCAGGAATGCCAAAACCGAGTTTCAGTGTTTTCAGAAAAGAGAACCTACATATGTACATGTTAAGCTAATTTTGAGGAACCTCATAGCGTGTAGGCAAAGTACAACTGATCCCCTGGTTATCAACTGCATTTTCTTCTTCTCCTGCAACATTACTCCAATAGGGCATCCTATAGCACTTGTCTTCGAAATTGTTGATAGAAATAGCTTCTACTGTATCTGACAACATTTTACAGTGATGTACACCAACAGTATTAGACCGTATTCCAAAATCATACAATGCTTCTTTCCTTTGAAGTGCTTGGAAAATCAGTAATATTTGTTCCTCTACTTTTATAATGTTTTTTATTATCCCAATTCTTCGATCCCTAAGAAAACAGCAGCTATCACGTAAATTTGTTGACAATATTAGTTTTCCGATCTCCAACTTGCGATATTGTCGACATTGAGCATCACCTGCACGGTGGGCAGGCACATCGCGCGTCAGATCGCGGTCTGGCTATTTCTCCAGCCATAGTGTGCACATTACGCTGCTTATTCGCCGGCACGATGGTCTGATCAATCGGCACTCGGTCCGGCAATATCGCGCCCTATGAGTTGGCATTTTGTTATCTGGGTATGGACCACACTAAAAGCTTCTTTTCATATAAAAATTCGTACGCGTCCTACCCGTGACAAACGTTGTCCCACCCGAGACAGAGGAATTTCGGACTTTTTGTATAATAAAGTCATAATTTTTTTGTAGTTTTTGCTTCGTTTGTGTTCCTGGTACTTTGTTTTATTATAAGACATCAAGTTCACACAGAAAAGTGAAATAAATTCGCAGAGTTTCCATAAAATATATCTGCTCCAAAGAGCAGGTTCTTTTTTTTTGGCCCACCCATGAAAAAAGAAATAAATCAGATTTTTTCCATATAAAAGTAAGCTGGAATTTTTTTCGTATTTTTTAATAACTTTTATAATAGTAAATTAGGTGTAGCTTTATCAAAATGTAGAATTGTTGAGTACTTTATCCTTAAATTTAAACAAGAAAGAAATTTTTTTCTGTACAAATGTCCAACCCGTAATGGAGGGAACCTCTTCTTCTTCTTCTTATTTGGCGCTGTAACCGCTTAAGCGATTTTGGCCGAGTTCAACAAAGTACGCCAGTCGTGTCTCTTCTGTGCCAATTGACGCTAATTGGAAATAGCAAGTGAAGCCAAGTCCTTCTCCAACTGGCCTGTTCCTCTACTACTACCAGCGGGTTCCAATTTGAATACCTTGCGAGCTGATCAACCAAGCCAGCGGAGCCGCTGTATTTTAATTCGCTGCACTATGTCCATGTCGTTGTAAAACTCATACAGTTCATCGTTCCATCGTCTGCGATACTCGCCGTCGTCGACCCATAAAGGCCCATAAATCTTCCGCAAAATCTTTCTCTCGAATTTTCCAAGAGCCGCCTCATCGGATGTTGTCATTGTCCATGCTTCTGCGCCATATAACAGCACGGGCATGATGGGTGATTTACATGGTGTGGCTTTCGTACGTCGAGTGAGGTCTTTACTGCTGAGCTGCCTACTCAGTCCAAAGTAGGACTTGTTGGCAAGAGTGATTCTGCGTTGGATTTCCATGCTGACATTATCATTGGTATTAATGCTGGTTTCCAAGTAAAAGAAATTCTCTACTTTCTCGAAATTATAACTGACAACAGTGACGTGTGTGCCAAGGCGCGAATGTGCTGACTGTTTTTTTGATGACAGGAGATACCTCGTCTTGTCCTCGTTTACCGCTAGACTCATTCGCTTTGCTTCCTTATCCAACTTGGAAAAGGCAGAACAGACTTCGCGGTTTTTGTTACCGATGATGTCGATGTCATCGGCATAAGCCAGAAATTGCACGCTCTTGTAGTAAATTGTTTCTGGGCGGTTCAATTCTGCAGCTCTTATTATCTTCTGCAACATCAGATTAAAGAAGTTACATGAAATGGAGTAGCCCTGTCTGAAACGCCGTTTGCTGGCGAACGGCTGGCGGTATTGCTCAACATCATTTTACACAGCGGTATCAGTTTCGAGGGGATACCAAATTCAGACATCGCGGCGTACAGTCGACAAATAGGTGGTGAGTGTCGATCCCTTTCTCGCGGGTCTTTTCTAAGAGTTGGCTTATTGTGAATATTTGGTCTATTGTGGATTTTCCAGGCCTAAAGCCACACTTATAAGGTCAATCAGTTCATTGACGGTGGGCTTCAGTCTTTCACAAAATACGCTCGATAAGACCTTGTAACCTATGCTTAGAAGGATGATCCCGCGGTAGTTGGCGCGAATGTGGAGGTTGCCTTTCTTGTGGACTGGGCAGAGTACACTTAAATTCCAGTCGTCGGGCGTGCGTTCATCTGATCATATTCTGCATAAGAGTTAATGCATGCACCTTATGAACTCCTCGCCACCGTACTTGAATAGCTCAGCTGGCAGGCTGTTAGCTGCAGCAGCTCTGTTGGTTTTAAGCCGCATTATTGCTATTCATACCTCGTCATAGTCAGGCGGTGCAATATCGACTCCGTCATCATCGAGTGGGGGCTCGGTTTCTACTCCACAACTTTTCGTGCTGCTACCATTCAGTAGGGTGTAAAAGTGTTCCCTCCACAACTTAAGTATGCTCTGAACATCGGTAACTAGGTCGCCATTGTTGTTCTTACAGTAGTACGCCTTGGTCTTGAAACCTTACCTAAGTCGCCTAACTCTCTGGTAAAATTTCCGGGCATTCTCTCTGTCGACCAGCTTTTCAAGCTCTTTGCACTCACGTATTTCTGCCTCTCTCTTCTTATTGCTGCAAATGCGCCTCGCTTCCCTCCTTAGATCCCTATAGCGGACCCATATAGCGCGTGTTGCGCCCAATCGCAGCGAGGCCCTGTAGGCGCCATCTTTTTTCTCTGCAGCTTCCTGACACTCCTCATCGTACCAGTCGTTCTTTCGGGCTCGCTGAAATCCGACTCGTTCTTCGGCGGCGGTACTTAATGAGCGGTAGATGTGATTCCACTGCTCGCATGTGTCGGTTTGTTGAAGAGTGCTCTCTAACAGCAGGTGTGGGAGTCGAGTAGCGAATGCATTCACTGTCTGTTGTGGTTGCAGCTTTTCTGCGTTAATATTTCCTTGCATATTTGGTTGGACATTTTTTTCTGCGCATACACGGGTGCGTATCTTGTCTGCAACAAGATAGTGGTCAGAGTCGATGTTTGGGCCTCAGAGTGTACGTATGTCTAAAACATTGGAAGCATACCTTCCGTCTATCACAACATGATCGATCTGGTTTCTCGTTTTTCGATCCGGAGACAGCCACGTAGCTTGTTTAATGTGTTTATGTTTGAACCTACTGCATACTACTATGTTCCAGGCCCGGCGAAGTCGATCAGCCTCAGTCCGTTGTCGGACGTCTCGTAGTGGAGGCCGACTTTTCCGACCGTGGTTCCAAAGTTCCCTTCCTTGCCCACCGCGGCTTGGAAGTCGCCAAGCACAATTTTGATATCGTGGCGGAGGCAGCGCTCGTAGAAAAGATCCTTGGATGCCTCATCCTCTTCCATCACGGCATGGGCGCAGGTGAGCGAGATGTTGAAGAATCTCGCTTTGATGCGGATTATGGCTAGAATCTCGTCCAACGAGGTGAACGACAGTACTCGGCGATGGAGTCTCTCTCCCAACACATATCCAACACTGAATTTGCGCTTCTTTACATGGCAGCTATAGTAGACGGCGCACAATGGTCCGGATTCTTGAAAACTCGCGCATGAGGCCAAAAATCGGATGTGCGAAAAAATTAATTTTGACACTTGATACGTGTAAGGGATACCCTACAGGTACCAGATGTGGATGACATTTCAATAATTTCTTTTCCAGCACCCTAAGAAAAAGTTTCTTATGAGCAGTATATTTCGGATTTGATTTTTTGTTATTATATTAGAGAAGCTCACGTGGTATTGCGATAAATGATAGTTTAATGATTTTGTATAGATTACCACATGTTACTAATGAATTTTAATTGTCAAAGTACGTAATACAAGAAAATGATTTTTATATTGAGGTGCCTGTTTTTATCTGCATTTAATAAGTCTTCAAATCATCGCCTTTCCCCCTCGTTTTTTTTTTAATATTTATCGTGAACTTTGATGAAGTGCATCTTTTTTTGCACAGTTTTGCACACTAAATCTGTGCATTGAGGGTAAAAAGGGACTTATTTAAAGTATATGGACGTAGGTTTTGTTTGCATTTATTTGCCTTCCCATTCGCAAGTTGCAATTTACGTGACC